CTATCCCCTGTGTGCCTTGCTTATTGTTGGCTGGTGTGTGACGTAATGGTACGGTTGTAAGTGCATTCCTTTGCAGCTATTGATTTATCTGTATCGGAACCTCAATATCAGTCTCTAATTTTTTTTGTACGACTATATACAAACCTAAACACCTCGGCTGACCTGTAGAGCGCATATACGACATAGCGAGCTGATAGTCTACTAAATGGATGCAGATGCAAGACACTTGTGGCTTGTATTTAATCTATAGTGTTGTGCATTAGTCGGTTCTGGGTAGCTTTGTGAGTTATGGGATCATATACACAGCCTTTCGTCTTTGCTGCTTAGTGTACATTACTACAATTGGAACCAGCCTCCCAAGGTAGGACAGCACGGCTATAAGCGCATCTGTCTACTACCCTCGTTCAGGGCATACTATCGCTCTTACATCAATTTTCAAGGTGTGATTGATTGTACAGATATATGCACCGCTCATTTGCATGTTATTTGTGCTCTCTGTGCATGTCATATTATTTGAATCACTTCCAAGGTATGTTTGTTCGTCGATGCGCGTGGCTGTGTGTTATCGAGTTTTGCGTATGGTTTAAGTACCGAGAACCACCAAAGTACCATTTCACGACTCTATGCGTGTGTTTTTTTTGCTACCCAAGGCCTCTGGATCCGCCTCTAACGTCTACACCTACAAATTTTGATAAATGAATGGAAGACTGAACATGCAAGCACTATTAAACTATCCTTGAAATCGCTGACATTCCCCAGACACCCACCAGTAGACTGCTGCGCCTTTCAGCATTGCTATTTATAAAACGTTCAGAGGCACTGGGTGCGGCTCTATGCCAATGGACTCTGCACGCGCACAATATGTCAGTAGAAGCATACTTGGAGACGTTCACAGCCATCAGGTAAGTGATATATGCTATTTGCTGGTTAGCGAGTTTTGATATATGCAGCACTGCCGACACCGACTTGGAAATACTTATAGATTCTCCGCAACTGTGTGACTGATGGGTGCTGTATGACGAACTGTATAAGCTCTTAATTTGTCATCAATCACAAATATGGAGTTATATATATCGCTAGAGTGAGGGAGTTAAAGGGACTTGTGTGTAATAAGGCATGATGTATCGGCATAGTGCATGTGCGATGGCTTGGAGTGGGAAGTGGTGTAGGGTAGAGTGTATGAACTCATAACATGCTATCCTTCACATTTTTGGATACCGTGGTAATGGTCTGGCTGTACGAGCAATGTTATCATAATTTGTTTCATCGAGATTTAAGGACTACTTATTAAGTCATGAATTTGTATATATGGTTCGGTATATGTGGATAGCTGGATAGTAAAGTATATAGCTATGCACTATATATGCCGTAGCTATATGATTTGAGGCCCTAAGGTTTTCATCGAGAATCAGAGAGCTAATAATACCACTTGAATGTAAACCTGTCGCATTCTACGGTCAGTGCATCAGCTATTTGTGGAGTGTTATATTGTAGCCAATTCATAGTCAGACTATGCCTCCTTAAACATACCTAGGGAGCCCCATGCAGATATGAGAAGTTCAATTTGAACATCTCCAGGGTAAATGATAAATACCAGCGGAATGTTTGTTGCAAAATAGTTGTTGGAGGCTGCGTAATACGATTGTGCACTGTTCGAACCTAAATACATTGAAATACTACTTAAACTGATCTCTCATACTTTGCTGTATGAAACAACTACTACTTTGTTATAGCTCAGTCATCGCTAAACACATAGCATTCAAGAAAGGTTTTATGATCCAATGCTTCTGAGTGATGGCGTCTACTGAGTGATGTGTCTGTCTGTGACGTGTTCACTTTCGACAATTGTTCAGAAGCGAAAACTACCACAGATTCGGTGCGTGCTGCAAGACAACCTCGCCCTCTCTTGGTTCAACCTCTCCATGTTTATATACGCTGTGTTTGTTATTTAGAATGTATGTATATAAAAATATACACGCATAATATAGTGGATGTATGTATACATAAATATACACGTATAATATATTGGATGTATGTATACATAAATATACACGTATATTATAATGGATGTATGTATACATAAATATACACGTATATTATATTGGATGTATGTATACATAAATATACACGTACAATATAATGGATGTATGTGTACATAAATATACACGTATAAATTAATGGATGTATGTATACATAAGTATGCACGTATATTATATTGGATGCATGTATACATAGATATACACGTAGGTTAAAATGGATGTATGTATTCATGAATACACATGTATAATATAATCGATGTATTTATACATTTATATACACATGTAATACTGATGTATGTATACATATATATATATGTGTGTGTGTGTGTGTGTGTGTGTATATATACGTGTGTGTGTGTGTGTGTGTGTGTGTGTGAGTAGAATATAATAGATGTAAGCATATATGAACATGCATTCTATACTCCTTGTAGTGGGTCACTTTTCAACAGCAATGTCAGTGTGTACCTGTGAAGACACCTGTTTCGCTACTCGGACTTCGACAACGCACACAGACCCGCTCCTCACTTTTTTAGGAGCATCATCACCTCGGAAGACATGAGCCTTCGCCCCGGAAGCCAGGCATCAACCGTTCTAAAAACAGACGGCGAGAGGAGTAGACATAAATTGTCGCGTGGGATGATACAATCGTCCCTCGCATTGTTACAGCTTGCTGACCCGCCTATGCAATTGCCAACCTCGTGAGTTTCGTACGCAATTGATACACAAACGATATTAGCTGCTTTTGGCTTCTTTTAGCATCTCGTGATGGTAATGGTTTGTTTGACGTCCGACGGTTTGTTGATAACAGCTGTTTTTCTTTTTTTTTGTTGTTGTTGCATAGGTCCGATATACAGCGCCGAATTTGCCACTTGTACGCATGTGTAAAGTAGGATTCTAGTACATTATCTACCATCAACCAGTGTGTGTTCTGAATGACTTGGTTTGTGTGTGCGCGACATTTATGACTCTGGAGTTGCCGGTACCCGATGTACTGTTCTAGTGATCCAAGCACGAAGAGAATGCGCTGCAAACAACATTGGGTACAGTGCCGGACACTATCATAAGTAAACGAACAAGAGAAGACAACCTCATGCTAGCTACTGTGATCGGTGCCGAAAGACCAATACTGTTTGGAAGAAGATGGAGAGAGCACGTGCACATAAATGAGTTTATCGCTGATCTGATGTATCTTGTTGCACAGACAAGTGGATAATACTACCGCAACTGAGATGTCAGGTACACATACCCTTGCTGTGTCGATGCTGCGCTGGGTGGCTGCCCAAGGGAGGTCAGTCGTATTGCCGTATTCCGATGGAGGGGGGGGGGGGGGGTTACCTTGTGTACCCTTGTTGAGTATTATTGCATAAGACGATGAGTTTTTTTTTGACGGGTCTAGGTCTGCTCCCAGATGCCCACGTTGCCGCATATTCCTGTCGCACTGGGTGGATACAGAGGGTTTTAATGTTGTTTGTCGTATTGTCGTATGGTTTACACTTGTGTGTACATGTCCTGAGTCGCATTAGCATACTGAGAGACCAGACTTACCTCCAAATCTCAATCCAAGCGATCATCGTGTCAATGCTGCGCTGGGTGGTCCATCGGGCCCGTACGACATATTGTCGTATTCTCGTACAGATCGCACCTGTGTATGTGTCCTGAGTAGCACAGTATACTGAGAGGTCAGGTTTACTTACAAATCTGAATACAAACGATCATCGTGTTACTGTTGCGCTGGGTGGTTACGAAAGAATAGTACGTTGTGCAATTGTACGACTGTGCACCTGAGTGCACATGAACGGGCAAGTCATCCTATACACTACCTACACATGTGCTCGTACCAATCGATAATTGTCAGGTATCTATTCATGTCGTACTGGGAGTTAAAAGCTACAGTACCCGTAGTTGTGGCCTTGCGGTTGGATGCCTACCAGATTTTTGTTATATACAGTAGTTGCGCAAGTAATTGGGGCATATACTGGATTTGCCATCCATCCATGCAGAAATTATACAAGCAGTTGAGCAATCTGATGGTTACCAGGTGTCTAACCGTGAGATCTACACACTTAATAGTGCGATGTGACAATTATTATGTGACTACCCATAACCTATTGACAATCACCTCAAGCAGTGTTTTCACATCGACGTGTGCGATTTAATAGCCACCAGGGGTGGTCGGTGATTTTGGCGCATATTCATATGGAGCATCTCCATCATCTAGCAAATTATAAATAGCTTACTAGACTTAATATATATATATATATATATATAAATATATATGTATGTATGTATGTATATATATATGTGTGTGTGTGTGTATGTGTGTGTGTGTGTGTGTGTGTATATATATATATGAATTCATATATGTTATTATATGTCCTGCGACTGGATAAAACTGTCGATCCCTATAGTCTTGAAACGGTTTCTTAACTTCATTATTTGAAATTCGGTCCTCAGCGCCTCAACAGTGTGCGATGCCTTAGAAAGTTTTAAAAGTGGCGACTTGGGCCACACAATCCGAACGGGACAAGTGGCAATGTACCATAGGTGAGTGCTACCACAGCTTTTCACGTCGACAAAATTTTTAAGTCTTGATAACTTACCTCAAATGACGATACATATACGGATATATATCTATATCTCTATCTATA